CTCAGTACCCTAGGGTGCATTAAATCTGGGCCCATGGATTTGTGTATGTTTAGCTTCCTAACTTGTTCTTTCCCCACCAAGGGCTGTTTAAAATTGGTGTCACTTTACCTACCCTCCAGTAATTTGGTAAAGAAACTGATTTAAATGATAAGTTATAAACCACGGTTCTTTAATTTCACAGTTGAGTTCCTTCAGAACTCTTGGCTGAATGCCATCCAGGCCTGGTGACTTATTACTTTTTAGTTTGCCAGTTTGTTCCAAAATCCCCTCAATCTGGGACAATTCATCAGATGTGTCACCTAGAAAGAATGGCTCAAATCTGGGAATCTCCCTCCATCCCCAGCCATAAGGACTCATGCAAAGAATTCATTAAGTTTCTCTGTAATGGCCTTATTATCCTTGACTGCTCCTTCAATTATCTAGTGGTCCCACTGGTTATCTAGCCATCTCCCTCAGTACCCTCGGATGCATTAAATCCGGGCCCATGGATTTGTGTATGTTTAGCTTTTCTAAATAGTTCCTAACTTGTTCTTTCCCCACCAAGGGCTGTCCACCTCCTTCCCATACTGCGTTGCCTAATGCATTTGTCTCGGAGCTGACCACTGCGTTAGTTTTGTCCCATTGGGCACTAGGAGCCGTACCCAGAATGCAAAGGGGTGGCAGAAACTGTAGGATAGCTACTCACAGTGAATCTCTCTCAAAATCAACGGCAACCCCCGGTAGGAGGATGCGCAACGTGGAATTCTTGTACACAGTGGGGACATACACACCCTTGACTTTACAAAACCGGTTGCTAAAAAAAAATCGACCTTAATAAATTTGACCTAGTGCCTTTGAGTCTGGCTTCTGTCAGGCTACATGTAGACTGCAGGCTTCTTTCGGAAGCAGCATTTTTCAGAAGAGATCTTCCAGAAAAACGTCTTCCAAAAGACAGCATCCACACTGCCAAAGTGCATCAAAAAAGCAATCTGCTTTTTCAAAAGAGACTGAATGGACGTTCTCTTGCATGTAAGCGATGGATGGAATTGCCACCAGGGCACCTGTGCTTTTTCCTCTTTCCTCTTCTTCCGAAAGAACTCCCTCTTCCCTGTCCACACGCGCCTTTTTGTGAACGAGCTCTTTCACAAAAAGGCTTCCCCCTCGTAAAATGAGGATTACCAACACCGGAAAAATCTCTCTGTTCTTTGGATTTTCTTGAGGAAGAACCCAATTGTAGTGTAGACGTTCCTCAAGTTTTGTTGGAAAAACAGCTGTTTTTCCGACAAAACTTTGTAGTGTAGAGATACCCTTAGACTCACAGACTTTAAAGTCAGAAGGGACCATTGCGAGTACTGAGCCTTCATGGCCAAATTATTGGTGACTTCAGTGTGGCCAGCACCTCTCATGGTGGGCCAGTCTGACGCTTCAATTCATGAAACAGGAACTAATAACAATTTAAGGGGGGAAAGGGGGAAAGGTTAAAGGAGACACCAGCCTTTCTCCCTCCTGACTGTATCTCACTGATCGCTGCAAGGACCAGGCTGTAACGTCCTTCCCCATTCCCGTGTCTGCCTCTGGGAGCATAAATCTAGCCCTCACATCAGCGTTTGTGCTGATGGAGACGGATCACAGTCATTGTTCAAAGAAAAAAATCAGTCACACGGGGGAGAGAAAGGTTCAAATGAAATTGAAAAGGACTGTTCTGGCAAATGAACATTTTGTCACATTAATCTCATATCCAAGTACGGGATCAAATAACTTTTGGGGACAGAGAAAAACCCCAATTCAGGACAGGCCATAAAACAATTTCACATTCATAAAATGACATCCCAGAGAATCGGAAGACTCTAAATCCAGGGCTGGATCTGACTCGTGATTTGGACGTGAGAAAGGTTTTAGCATCATCCTAAAATAACCAAAACAAAGCAGCCAGCGTCACTTCTACACAGGATTTGGTCTAGCCTAGAAAAAAACTGGAAACAGTTCTGCCAAGAAGTGGGAAAAGGGCTTTAATTCGGACAGATCAAAAGGGGCCCTCTGGTTCATTAGGATACCCTTCAAGGTCTGGGACACTTTTCTCTCCCGACCTCTGGAGTCACAGATATCCCAACTGTGATAGTTAATCCAGGAGAACCAGGGACATGTAGTGACTCTTTGGGAGGGGAAGGGGTAGACCGGGAACATCCTAAAATTCTGCAGAGCTGGTACAGAGGCCTCAGTCTTACCCCATTGCCATGAAATAGCACAGACACTAAAACCCCACCTTTTACTGTCCCTGCTCTGCCCCTTTTAGGATCTGTGCAATCCTGGCCCATAAGAGAGGAAAGGTACAAACCCTAATGACTTTTCAGCAGTAGTGTGAGAATATCTGGGAATGAGACAATCCGACCCCAAAGGGGGAAATCAGTTTCACTCACAGTCCATTGATTGCCCCTGATGTAAAGCCACCCAGCTTTGGCCTCCCTCCCAGACAGCCCACTTAAACAAGATGGAGTTACTGAAAATTTGGTTCGTCATATTAGGAATTCTACCAATGCCAAAAGATCAGATATATTAACCACCAACATGGGCGTTGGGTGAAAGCTCCTTCTGCCTGAGGCCCCGGGTTCTTAACAAGGGGCTCAGAGCTGGGGGCTGGAGGGTGCAGGAGTCAGGGCTGGGGAGTGAAGAGGGGCTCGGGGCAGGGGGTCCGATCTGATGCGGCTTTATCTATCTGTCTCCCCTGAGCCTCTCCAGCTGCCAAGGGCCTTCTATCTCCCGCCAGCACTCCTAGACACAGCACCCCCAGCTCCCTGGCCACTAGGGATCTTCTGTAGGGGGTTACTTACTTGGTCTGTTGGCAGGCAAGATGGCAGAGCCCCACTCCCACTAGCTCAATGTTTCCCAATTGGTGCTCCGCGGAACCCTGGGGTTCTGTGAAGCGAAAACAAGGGTTCCGCGAACAGCTGGCACTCCCCCGCCCCCTCTTAAAGAGACAGAGCTGGTGGTAGGGCTTTTTTTTTTTTTTTTTTTTTTTTTTTTTTTTTTAAAAAACAGAGGGGGGGGCTTTTTTTTTTTTTTTTTCTAGGGGTTCTGTGGCCAAATAAAATTGGGAAACACTGCACTAGCCATTCGCTTGCTGCTTCAGCTCACTGGCCACACTGGCCACACTGCAGTATAGCTCTGCCCTGCACGCGCTGCCCCCAGTGGCCAGTCGGAGTATTGTGTCCCTCCTCCCTTTCCACGTTATGGAAAACAGTTCCATTCCTGGCACATCCCAAATTCTTGGCACAACCAACCCCTGACCTTGCTTATACTTTCATGATAAAGAGATTGCAGTACAGCACTTAGATGAGGGGAGCTGCAGAACACTAATTTTCTCTCTCACACTTACAGTGCAAAAACAAAAGACAGGACTATGCAGCACAGTGCAAATATTTGTAATAAACATAACAAACTCAGCACTGTGCACTTTCTATTCCTTCCTGTAATACAATCACTATATTTGAAAACATAGAAAGGCATCCAAAAACATTTAACGCATTTCAATTGGTATCCTATCGTTTAACAATGAGATTCATTGAGCTCAAGTTTTTTAATCCCCATTGATTCTTTGAGGTAATCGCGTGAGTTAACTGTGATTAACCAACTGTGCTTTTTCCTTTCTTTTTTTTTTAACAATACGGCTGTGTCTACAATGGCCACTTATTCCGGAAAATCAGCTGCTTTTCCGGAATAACTTGCCAGCTGTCTACACTGGCCCCTTGCATTTCCGGAAAAGCACTGACGGTCTAATGTAAAATCGTCAGTGTTTTTCCGGAAAAACTATGCTGCTCCCGTTTGGGCAAAAGTCCTTTTCCAGAAAACTGTTCCGGAAAGGGGCCAGTGTAGACAGCCTAGATTTCTTTTCCGCAAAAAAGCCCCGATTGCGAAAATGGCGATCGGGGCTTTTTTGCAGAAAAGTGCATCTACATTGGCACGGACGCTTTTCCGCAAAAAGTGCTTTTCCAGAAAAGCATCCTGCCAATCTAGACGTGCTTTTTTCGAAAATGCTTATAACGGAAAAGTTTTCCATTTTAAGCATTTCTGGAAAAGGGAGCCAGTGAAGATGTAGCCTACACTGCCATGGATGCTCTTGCGCAAAAGCACATGGCAGTGTGGATGTGTTCTTGCACAAGAACCCTTACACCAATGTAGACATAGCCACAGGGTCCCGGTCTTGTGTGGACTGACTGAGTTTACATCTCAAAGCTCAAGTCAATCTAATGAGGAATCAATCTCTCAGAGGAGGAGCCATGTTGCTCTCAGTCTGCAAAAACAATGAGGAGTCCTGTGGCAGCTTAGATCTCTTCAGGTGCGTCTACACTGCAGGGCTTAACTCGAAATAAGCTATTCAAATTGAGCTACGTCAATTGTGTAGCTTATTTCGAAACAGGGAGTGTCAACACAGCACTTTTTTCGAAACTGAGCACTTTTCCTCTGACCTCCCTTACTCCTTGTACAATGAGGGTTACAGGAGTCGGAGTAAGAAGTCCTCCACTCTGACAGTATTTTGACACTATTTCGAAACAACGGCCTGCTGTGTAGACGTGGACTAAGTTATTTCAGAATAGCACTAATTATTTCAAACTACTGTTGCAATGTAGACTTCAGTCTTTAAGATGCCACAGGACTCCTCTTTCATACTGTGGACTGGTTTAACGACGTGTGATCTGTTTGAAACTTTAGCTTCAGACCAAGCACTTAGCGGATCTCTCTTAAAGGTGGACTGTCTGATGTAAAACAAGGGCTCATCTGTTTTTCAACTGTTTACCAAAGCCCAAGCACTCACAGGCTATGTCTACACTGCCTACCCGCTCTTGTGCAAGATTTACAGTAAAGCGTGGGAAGAGAGGGATTCTTGTGCAAGAGCTACGCTCTTTTCTAACAAATGTAAGCCCTCTTTCTTGCGCAAGAGGGCAGTGTGGACGCGCAGCAGGGGTTCCTTGCGCAAAAAAGCCCTATGGCTAAAATGGCCATCAGAGCTTTCTTGTGCAAGAGAGAGTCCACACTGCCATGGATGCTCTTGCGCAAAAGCACATGGCAGTGTGGATGTGTTCTTGCACAAGAACCCTTACACCAATGTAGACATAGCCACAGGGTCCCGGTCTTGTGTGGACTGACTGAGATTTAAGAAGCCTTGTTCTCCGTATGAAACTTTTCTCAAAGTGTAATCATTCATGGGGGAATTCTCCTGTGTGGATTGCTTGATGCCTAAGAAGGACGGACCTCCATTTGAAACTTTTTCCACACTCTAAGCACTGATGGGGTCTCTCTCCTGTATGGATTCTCTGATGTGAAACAAGGGCTGACCTCCATGTGTAAGTTTTCCCACACTCTAAACACCTATGAGCTCTCTCTCCTGTGTGGACTGCCTGATGGCTAACAAGGTCGGGTCTCCGAAGAAAACATTTTCCACACTCTAAGCACTGATGGGGTCTCTCTCCTGTATGGATTCTCTGATGTGAAACAAGGGCTGACCTCCATGTGTAAGTTTTCCCACACTCTAAACACCTATGAGCTCTCTCTCCTGTGTGGACAGCCTGATGTTTAACAAGAACGGACCGCTGCAGGAAACTTTTTCCACAATCTAAACACTTATGGGGTTTGACTTCCCTGTGGGTTGCTTGATGATTCATGAGGTCTGATCTCCGTATGAAACTTTTCCCACAGTCTAAGCATTTATGGGGTCTCTCTCCTGTGTGGATTTTCAGATGTACAACAAGAGAGGACCTCCATATGAAACTTTTTCCACAAATTAAACATTTATGGGGCCTGTCCCCTGTGTGTACCGCCTGGTGTGTAATCAGAGCTGACTTCTCTCTGAAACTTTTACCACAGTGTAAGCACTTATGAGGGCTCACTGTGTGACTTCTCTCATGCACCGTCAGGGAAGACTTCCAATTCAAACAGTTCCCACCCTCAAGGCACGGAGAGCCTCTCTCTCTCATTGGGCTTCTCCTAAGAGTATTAAGATCAGAGCTGTTAATGACACTTTCCCCATCATCCAAGCATTCAAGGGGTTTCTCTCCAGTACCAACTGTTGTAATTGAAATAAGCTCTGGGCTCACAATATATCCCTTCCCATAACCGAGCCATTCATCATATTTTTCTTCTTTGGAGTTTGTTTGGTGGGCGGTGGGATACTTGTGTCCTTCCCCACATTTCACAGATTCATCCTTTGCGTGATTTCCCAGCAGCCTCTTGAGCCTGTACCAGTTTCCCCAGGCTTCTCCCTGTTCCAAGCACTGGGAAACATTCCCTTCAGCTCTTCCCACAAAGGTCGCCTGTGGTTCCATTTTCCCAGGATCTTCCTGCTGTTGATTCCCCTCTTCATTCTCACGCCCTGTCTCACCACCTGCTGGAAGAGAGACAATCCAGGTAGGAGTCACTGAGATGGGGAGAAAGAGGAACAGCATAAAGGGAAAACCCAATACGCTGAAGTTGCACAGAACAAGCAACTGGATTCTGTCTTCAGCTAAGAACACTGGTGGTAAACTGTGAGCACTATCAGCTGACTACACCCTGCCCTGCATCAGAGGAGGCAGAACTTTTAGGAAACTCAACATTTTCCTTTATTCACCAGCTGGTTTCTGAGCCAACCCTCACCTGTGCAGGTGCCTCTCAGGGTCTCTCTTTCTTCCCCGTCCTGGAGGTCGGGAACCCAGGGCTCTTCCCCTCGTTCCAGCTGGGTGATCAGCTCAGGTTTGGGAATGAGAAACCCTGCACAGGGGGTGAAATCAGAGCAGATCAAGGCACAGGGAGGGTGGGGAGAGCGTCAGTCCCAAGGGACATTCCGTGAGTGGAACCTGTCCCCGGACTCTGCTGGGGAATGTGCAACCCAAGAGGACGGGGACATGGTCACTGAGCCCCCTGGGGAGAGGCAGACGTGTGGGGAGGTGAGAGGAATTGTGACGCCCTCACTAGGAGTTCCCAGGATCTGGGCAGACTGGGGCCCTTGATGACACTCATAGCTCTGCAGTTACACTCTTGCCTATTTCTAAACTTGCCTTCTCCACGACTGGAGCTCTTCCCAAGGAGGGAGGGGAACAGGGATTCTGCGTGTGAGTGAGAAACAACCCAGACAAGGGGATACATGGCCCCTCAGCCTTGAAATCTACAGGGGTCAGGTGGGGATGATTTAGCACGTCTATTCGAGTTTGACACTCTGGTCTCACTGCACAGGATGGGGAGATGCAAGTCGCTCTCCCCCAGCAGCTGTGCCCATGGAACCCATTCCTGTCCAGGCCACCTGAGCAGGGAAGATCCTGGCCTGTGTTGGACACGCAGACCCCACGGCTCCTAATCCCCGAGGGGCCAGGACGCCCTTACCCAGCGAGGTCACCGCCTCGTAGTTCTCCTGCATGACGTCCCTGTAGAGGGCTCTCTGAGCGGGGCCCAGCAGCGCCCCCTGCCCCGGGGTGAAATACACAGCCACCTCCTCGAAGGTCACCCGCATCTGCAACAACAAGAGTCCCTCACCCACTGCCTGCAGCCCCAGCCACCATCCCAGTCGTCACGGGGAAAAAACCGGAGATGGGCCCAGAGATCTTTGTCCCCCTCCCCCTCAGCAGACAGAGGGCAGGGCCTTCTCCCTGGCCACACACCTGCTAGCCAGAGGCTGAGGCGGAAGCCGAGCTCTGAGCCACAGGCAGGGACAGGAATCCCGGCAGCTTCCCTTTGTGTTTCCCAGCAACCTCTGGCTGGGGGCTCAGGTCACAGCATTGGGAGTCTGGGATTTTTTTCCAGCCCTGCCCAGGGGGGCTGGGGCCTGGGTTAGAAATGGGGGCGCGATCACACCCTGCCCATGGGCCTGCTCAGAAACTCAGCAGCTTCATCCCTCCTCCCTCCCCCCGCCCAGCAGCTCCCCGAACCCCCGT